TGACTGGATATACACCGATACAATCTGGCCATATTCGTCGTCGAGTGCGGTAAGACTAAACGTAACTGAATCTATCAGCATAGTGGAGTTTTCCATTTCAGTAACGTTTTCTGTATTCACTTCAATTGTATCGCTTACGTTACTCAATCCGGCTATGGTGTATTGTTTCAGAATAGTACTCGTCGGCAGGAGACCCATGGTATCGGTCACATAAAGATCTATTGTCAGTTCACTTTGACGGTAATTGTAAAGTGTATAATTCATAGCGAGTGTACTATTGAGAAGAACAAGATAAGGCTGATCGTCAGCACTCAATGAAATAGATGTTGGCGTTATAATCTGTTTTTCTTGTCGTTGAACTGTTGTGTTGTCTTGCAACTGAGCTACTGTACTAAGACGAAAATCGACATCGGGTATAGTTATTTGTGACAGAAAACCCGTGGTTGAAACGCGAAATGGCATCAATGTCTGCAGTATTTTTGATCCATCGTTTGCATCTATCAAATTCACGTAGCCAGTTTTGAGATCAGACGTCAAATTTGTGCAAATGGTCAGAACAAACAAATCTGTTTGTTGCCTGATCGGTTGATCTGTTAATGGCGTAAAACTGATATTTGACGATGGGCCAACCATTTGCTTTTCTATTGTAGATGAACAGGATGTTTCGCTAACAGCATTTAATTGAATAGTATGATTAGTGTTCATAAGAGACACCATGCTCCATTCTCCTACGTCACTGCTTGCAACTGGCACCGTGTACACGAGAATATAAGGCGTTTGAGATGTCGGTGTTAATGAAAGTACGTCTCCCGAAGGTTTAATCAGCAGAAAATTGGTACTCGAAAACTCTGTACTCGACGTCACTTCGATTAGAAGTGACTGGATCGATAAATCAGTGTAAAACGTAAAAGCCGTATTAAACCCTTTAGAAAGAATAATCAGTGTAAGTTTACTTGCGTTAAGACGTTGAATGATGTAGTCTTTTGTGGCATTGAGTGTCTGGAAATTGACACCAATTGTAACACCACCAGTTACCGCTGGTAATTCGCCAGAGTCGCTACCGTTTACATTTTCGCTACCATCCACATCGTCAGTGTTAACTTGCACACGATCGGTCTGCTGTTTCGAAGAAAGTTGTTTCGAATAAAATAATGTAACTGTGACACGTTTCTGTTTTGCTATCTGTACAGCTTGACTTTTCAAATAGGCATCTTTTGCTGGAGCATCGGTGAAGACGTACATAAACGATCCGATTTCACACACTTTGAGTGCTTCAACAACTCCATGATAATATAATACGGGCTGATTGCCACCGTCATACGCTGACAACTTACTAATTTCGGTTGTAAACTGGTCCAGGCTTTCACTCGATGTCGGTGATCCCCATGTTGAATCATTAAATAGAGAAAGAATATAATTGTTCGGCTTATATTCTAGGGTATCTTGAATATCAGCAATGCCAGTGGCTATCTTCTTTGCCATGTCAGTGTACAGTCCCATACCACCACCGGTGTTCATAACGATAACCAAACTATTGTATGCTAGATTCTTCAGGTTAGCCGACAAGCCAAGAAACTGTCCGAACGATTCATCGCCAATCATTGTCCAAAATTCATTCAGTATTTGTATTGTAGCATTGTATGCGACAGACGCTGCTATGTAGTGTAGATAACCATGAGCGGCTTTCAGGTTATCTTTGTTCATCCCAGCTCCTGTAGCGTCCATGTTGACAGTGTAGTCGGCAAATCCACCGTGACTACATTTTCCCACTGGTTTTTTCCCGGGATTAAATATCTGACCAATCACTTTCAGTCCAAAGTAACCACTGGTCAGTACATCATCTTTAATAATAGATGGGTTGACATTCGTGCGACATGCATCACCCGTACAATCGACACATGTTCGCATTCCTTTCGATGCATACTTGCCGAGAATTTGGTATTTACCCATGCCGTTATTTGGTACTCGATAGCCAATTTCAATCCAGTTCGAATGGCTATAAAAGTCTTGAACGGTATGCAGCAACGCACCAAACGATTCCCTCGCCGTTTCATAATCCTTAATCCCCATACTTGACACCGCTGCAGTTAGCCTCCGCGATATTAACACAGCGCCGTCCTCAAATGTTTCACTGTCAAAATGGGTTGGTTCGTTGAATATTTCAGAAAGATCCCGTCCTGTATTTGTTTGAGCAACGGTATTAATTGCATTTGCCAAACGCGTCTTGTCAATTTTCAACTTGTCTAATTCATTATAGACTGCATTGTAAATGGACGTCGAATTACACTGGCCATTTTGAATATTGATGGCAAATTGTATTGTGGTGATGTTGTAAACGCGCGTCATATAATCCGAAGTTAGTTGGAGCAAAGCACATTCAGTCATCGAGTAGTGAGTAGTATCGTCCGATGGGAGAAAACGGGCTGTCCATCCGGCGTCGAAATTGTGCACACCTGGATACAGCAGCAACGAATAGAGTAAAATAGGTACAACGTACATGATGAGCCTGAATATAACGTCGTTCTTCTTTCATTCCAACTTCTATATAAATGGTTTTATTTCAGTCAAATATTGACAAAAAAAATTGGTAAAACTTTTTTATTACTGTTCTTTTCTCTTCTCGATTCTCTGTGAGTTGTCGATGTTCATTTTCAGATGCATACAGCATAATCAAAGAACGAAAAGAAAATTAACAACTACCGTTGAAAAGTTTTTTTCCAATAACAACTTCCGCATTTATATTTGCTTAACTTCTTGGACCCGCAATTTCTTCTTAATTTCCACAACCTTTTCAAATACACTCTTTTCTGTTATGCCAGCGACGGTCAGCTTCCAGGGGTATGATGTAGAAAGCATAATACACTCTTGGGTTCTGCTTGTCTGCAATATGACGACATCCAGATCTAAGAGATAAAGCTTTACATTCTGCTCGTTGACAAACTGAAAAAGAGTTGGTATTCAAAATTCATGATCTTATTCTTTGTGATTAGTCACTGCAAACTTTAGAGGATTCCATAGATAATCACTAGTTGAGTCATAGACAACTGAGCGTCACGAAGCTATTTAAATTTTCAGAAAATATGCTCTGATATGCTAATAGACGGTATGTAAAAGATTTTCCTTTAATCCAACAGCTCGATTTGATTCGCAAATCACCAAACCGAAAAAAAATAAAGTTGCTTTTGAGCTGCTGAAAACTGCTTTTTCGTACCCGACACCCTCAATAATCTCGACGATTTTCTATTTTCGGCGACGAGTGCTTCGAAAAGTTTAGAAAAACTTTTGAAACAAAATGGCGCAAAATAATTTCCATGGGAAAATAATATAAGTTTGAAAATTTTTCCTAAACTTTTAGAAGTACCCTTTGCCAAATATAGAAAAACTTTATGTTATCGACTCTGCTGAATACGAA